ACTCTGCCTATTTACTTTGTATGATTATCAGATATGAGAAGCTGGACAAGAAGATGAAAAGTGAGGCATCAGGATTAGAGAAGGACTCAGTAACCTGGCATAAGCAGATGGTACTACCTTACCTGCTGAAAGTATAAAGGACTTGAAGCACTTATTGAAGAAGATCAAAGAATACTGCCTTCAATATGGATTGTACTTCAGCGTCAAGAAACAAAAGTCCTCCCAACTGGATCAATAAGCAGCATCATGATAAATAGAGAAAAGATTGAAATTGTCAAGGGTTTAATTTCCCTTGGATCCACAAGCACCACCAATGGAAAAAACAGTCAAGAAATCAAGACATATTTCCTTGGGACAGTGTGCTGCCAAGGACCTCTTGACAGTGCTATAGACCAAGAATGTCACCTTAAAGGCTAACTCACTCTCACTTGTTACCATCAAGTCAGAAACAATTTATAGCTGACCCTGCTGTGGATTCTTAAAGCTGCACATCGCATGTGAGGAGATTGCTCATATGTCTTCTGAGGATTCAGAGGTGGTGGTGGATTTGAACCACCGAAGAGGTGGGGCATTTGGATTAGCATCACAATTCCCCATGACCTACACTTCTGAAGTTGCCTTTAAAAGCTAAGATGCACCCAGAATTGCTTTATATTTGTGTGAAAATTAGACAATGAATAAGGAAAACCAGAGGAAAATGGATGAATACTTGCAAACAATACTGAAGATACTAAAGCTTGCCAAGATCACACAGCTCTATCTTGGTAGAAGTGCAGTCACAGTGCTCCTTAGAAACAAGGATGGTGAGATTTTGTTCCATATACATTGGGCATGCTATCAGTCCTTGGAAACTGATATTATCATGCTTGGAAAACTTGAAGCCTATAGATATTAAATGAATTGAGAAAGCAGGTGCAGCAATGGCTGAAACACAGCAAAGACTACATCAGAGTTTCTCCAGGTTCATAGGGTTTCTGGAGGCAAGCCATTTCAGAAGTGGATGCCACTCCTGCTTCCAAGCCTGTTTTAATCAGAGAGCTCCACCAAATACTGTCTACCATGGGTAACCATTATTGCAATTTTATGTATCTAATAGTTTTGCTGTTTGTGTTAATGTTAGTATTGTTATTTTGGACTTTTTTGTTGACAGATAAAACAAATGATTGTTTTGGTGGTGGTGGTGTGCCACAGGGTCAAAACCCACACATAGCTGACTCTCTTACAGGTTTTCAGAGGCAGTTAATCACATGGGAAGAGATTGCCCATCCTTCTCTGGTGGACAGCTGGTGGCATCTAACCCCATACCTTCAGGATTGCAGTGCAGCTTCTTGACACTAGGCCATCAAAGCTCCCTAAAACAAATGATTATATAAGTTTATTTAAAAAAAATATTTTGTTGTTGCTTATATACCAATCAAACACAATTTCTACTTGTAATGACACTGATTTTGTTCAAGTTTTGCAATTTTCCTCACCCACATTTTCCAAATCATTCCACCATTAATGTAAACTCCTACCTTCCAAATTTTCTATCTGATCTTTGGAGCTGCTCTTTTCACTTTGATCCCATATAGATGAATCTTGGAAGTACTTTTCATTTCCTCCTCATGGCAGTCATGGTTTCCTAGTTAATTATTGTTGGATTTAAGAAGACTTGAGGGAATGTTTTTTTTAAGGTTGAAATATTTTCTTAGAAAAAGTCTTTTGGATATTTGACCATAAACTTAATTTATTTTTCAATCAACATAATTTTATAGCTTTACATGAAAGGAAAGAGCTAAAATTGCAGTTGCAATAGAAAGTTGTATAGTAATGTTAAATTCCATTGGAAAGTATCAATATGAATATATGATACTAGAAATGTATGTTTTAAAGTGCATTTAAACAACTCATAAGAACAGATCTGAACTCTGACTTATCCTATGCTGTCCTCGTCATCTTTGACACACTTGAGCCCATTGCTGCTGTCACCATGTTAGTCCAGCTCATTGAAAGTCTTCCTATCCTTTGCTGACCCTCCAGCTTTCCTATCATGATGCTCTTTTCCAAGGAGGAGCCTCTCCTAGCATCATGCTCAAGGAATGTGGGACGAAGCTTCATCCTTAGCTCTAAGGAGTACGCTGGCTGCACTTTTTCCAAGGCTCATCTGTTTGTTCTTTTGGACGTCCGTGGGATGTCCAGTGCTCTGAGTGCATAGATTGTAGATTCTGGAGTGACCAAGTGTAATTTGAAGGGAAAAAATTGAGCAGAAAATTGAGTTAGTGATTGTGCCCATTGATTGTATTACCAACAAGAATTTTCTTAGCTGCTGCAGAAAGACAAATTATACTGGTATTTGCTAAGAGGGTCCATTCTAAATTAAACCTGATACTAGGCCTAAGGAGATTGCATCATTTGCGCAGATAATCACTGATAATCTTCATCCTCTGTCTCATTTTTCTTTCATTGACATTTGCCCTCAGAAGAACAACACAGTATTTCTTGAGTTTCACTTACGACTCTAGTCCTTAGCCTTTTCTCAATTTCATTCAGTTTCTGGGGACTCATGGCTCCCCCTGTGCTGTGATTATCTGGTTTGTTAGTGCTACTGTAACAGAAATATCACAAATAGGTGTTACTGCTGCTTTAACACAGATTTATTGTGTGACAGTGTGGGATATTAGAAATCTAGATTGACAAGGCAGTGCTGGTGACTTAGTGGTGAGGAGTCACATTGCCAACCCAAAGGTAAGAGATTCTAATCCACCAGCTGCTTCATGGGAGAAAGATGGACACTCTCCTCCCATAAGATTTACAGGCTCTGAAAAGCCACTGAAGGGTCAGCTATGAATCAGTACAGACTAGAGGGTATGTAACAACAACAACCTCTAGGAGAAGTCTGTCTTTCTCTATTGGCTCTGGAAAAAGATTTTTGTGATGTTTTATATCTTCAGTTTTATTTTCCTGGGCACTGTTCAAGGGAGCTCCTGTGGTCTAGTCTGTACAAAGTCACGCTGCTAATCCAAAGGCCATGTCTCTCTGGTGGTTTGAATCCATAAGTGGCTCTGAGGGAGGAAGAGGGGAAATCCCCTTCCATGAATTTACAGCCTTGTAAACTCAGTGGAGCTATGAGTTCTGACTCTACTGCAAAGACTGTTTTAATCTTGACAACGTTCATGTGACATGTTCTTCCCTCTGTGCTTTTTTCTCTGTGCCTAATCTGTTACTTTTCTATCTCAAACGTGATTGGCTTACAACACACTTTTTATTGATGTGGCCTCATTACAACAACAACAAAATCCTACTTTCCAATGTGATTACACTCACAGGTACAAGGTTTTAAGATGTGTATATTTTCCTGTTTTGAAGGGACATACTTCAATTCATGACACCACCTTGCCTGGTCTGGGAGTGAACTCCTGAGGGAACCTCCCTTGAGGTATGAGGAACACAGCCCTGGGAACTTGACCAAGCCATTCCTCAATTCTAGAGCTCAACTATCTTAATTCAGTGTCAAGAGATTTAGGGTAAGAAAGTGAGATTCTATGACAAAATGAAAAAATTAAAGTCTATGGTTCCCTTGAAGAGCTATTAGCTGTGAGAAAAAACATATTTCTGTTCCTTCTAAAGTTTTTAGCACAAAGTTAGTAAAGGAACTCTTCCTATTCTAAGGGTTGATTCATTGATGTTCTTCAACCTCACCCCAAGTAGAAACTGGTGTGGTGGTAAAAGGCAATTCTGGACTTACCACAGAAAACCTATTTTCCTTCTGGTTCCTATTTACCCTCTTCAATTTCACGTGCAGCTCACTCTTTGTGCCTCTGGACCTCAGGAGATTCAGATTTCCAAATTAAAGAACAAACAATAATTATAGCTAGAAGAGACTTACTTAGGTGCTATTTTGCATCATCTCACTTTATGCACAAGGTAAGACGATTGAAGGGACGGCTGTGGAAAATGATGCCACTAAGACACTCAGGAGTTGGAGTACAGCTGTCGAAAGGAAGCACATCCCTAGATCTCCTCCTGTCCTGGGCTGCCTTCTTCCAAGTGACTGGCTGTGCTTTCTCCTGCAGCATGCAAATTCAGAGTTAAGTTTCCTTCTGAGTCTCTAAAGTGTTTAAATTGGGCATCAGGGACCTATGGAAGCCTGACCTCCTTCAGTGACAACTGAGGTTGCTGGAGCTTGAAGCTCAGAATAAACACCCTTCTCCATCAGCAACCTGAGCATGGCTGGACTATGGAACTAGTAATGAGCAGTTGTGTTCTAACAGTTCTGTGAGTCTATGAGTGGGAAATGTTATTACTGGGCTTTTTATGGCATATTAAGTTGCATCATTCTTTTCTACCAGCTAGACTGATTCCCCTTGAGGAAAGCCCCTCTTTCAGCCCTCATGCAACAGGAGCTCAATAAGTTTCTAAAAAAAAGAAAAAGAAAAAGAAAAAAAGGCAATAAATGACTTAGATTTCAGAGAGTATGGGTGTGAATTTTGGACAAGCCACTTAGAGGTGGTGTGAGCCTCAGTTTCCTGATCTACACAGCTGGGAAAAGACATTCTGCCTTGGCCAGCACCAGGTCTAGCATCTAGGACTTAGAGAATGCCAGTGGTGGCCATAGCACGTCGGGGGGAGGGTGGCGGGGGCACAGGAACAGCTGACTGTGAATCTTCCTTTTGTTTTTCCTCAGTAACCTTGGATGTCAGTTACTTCAACACTCAGAGTTAGAAAAGGTGTGGAGAAAGAAGCGGATGAACCAGGGCCATGGCAGAGTCCTAGCCTCTTGGACACCTCTGGAAGCCTTGCTGAACGTGGTCGGTGGCTAGCCTTCCCACATACTTGTTCCTGCTTAATCAAGTATCACCACCCAGCCCAACTCTGAAGCTTAGCTTAGAGACCTGGAACTCCCCCTTGGGGCTCCTTCTTTCCCAGCCCTGGCTCTTGGCACCTTGCTTAGCTACCATGGTAACAGGTTCCAGGGTGACAAAGGAGAGAGCTCGGTTTGTTTCCTCTTGGTCTCCTCGATGAGGTTTTCCAGACCGTGGAGACTGAGGCCCGCATCTACTCAGGCTCTTTACGTGTTCTCGCTCAGGTGGAGCTTTGTCTCCCACCCCAGCCAGCCAGGACCATGTGTACCAGCCTGACTACTTGTGAATGGAAGAAAGTCTTCTATGAGAAGATGGAGGTGGCAAAGCCAGCTGACAGCTGGGAGCTCATCATGGACCCCAACCTCAAGCCTAATGAACTGGGTCCTGGCTGGAAGCAGTACCTGGAGCAGCATGCCTCCGGCAGGTGAGGTCCAGTGAGGCAGGGGCTTACAGGCTCTGGGGGTATCTTCCAAGGGGAGCAGAGAGGATTGCTGAGCCCGTACTGGAGCCAGTCCCACTTGTATATTAACTCAGGAGATGATGCAGGGAAAGAATTGTTAGGTGGCTCACAAAGACTTTAGTTCTAATCCCAACTGTACCAGTGACACCAGTGAGCCTGGGTGTGTTATGTATCATTTTTGGGTAGTTCTGCACAAAATGAAGAGTTATAATATCATGGTATCTTCAATGGTCATGAAATATGTGGCATATTAAGTATTTTTTTCTTTTCACACTGTCCTAAAGACTGCTTAGACTCTCAGAGAGGAGATTCTGAGTCCCATTCGAGAACTCTTTCACCTGGGCATTAAGAAGTCTGTGCTCTGGCTCTGGACCTGGTCAGTCCATTTTAGTCCAATTTGATCTGAATGTAGGAACATGCATTTACTGCATGTTCTTTGCCAGAGACTGACTTTATTAGCTCTGTGAACTTGGGGCCAGAACTTTTCACCTCCCTGCATCTTATTTTCATATTTGCATAGGAGAGGGTTGGCTTTCAATAACAAACTGAGTCCTTTTTAGCTTTATTATCTATGTGTCTGTGAGGAAAAGACAGATTTGGGAAGGACTGTCCTTAGGCACTTAGTGTTCTTCCCTTCGAGGAGTGCTGCTCGGGGTTACAGACCTCCTAGGGAAGGAAGAGGCCCTGGACCAACAGGACAGGTCGATTTGAAGGCCACATGCTGCATCTTCTAGACCATGACTTGAAAGAGGGGCCACAGATTTTTTTGCCAACCTACCTCAAGCCTATTTTCCGAGTCTGAGCAGGCGTCTTCCTTAGGTCCAACATTTATAAGGGAGACTGTAAAACTAAGCCCCTGGTGTGGCCAAAAATTGGCTAGTTGCAAAAATTGTCAGCATTGTGTAGACATGGGTGGCCCCCACACATATATGTATACATTGCATTCGTGGTACAAGATGATGTTAAGTGTGGAAAGAAGGAGAGACAGAGTCTTACTGTGGAGATATCATTTGTACTTTTGCCTCAAGACTCACAAACATTAGAGTTAATGTCTCTGTGAGAAACGGGTGAAGCAGTGGGTGGAGTTGGTACAATTTAATTATAATCAATTGCAGAAGAATCAATTGAGTATCTATGACATGCTAGAACCTTGCTCCATGCCTTAGTTTTCTCTCCGTAAAGTGAAGAGCCATCTAAATTTTCCTTAAGTCTCTCTCGTTCCAACCCTAGTTAACATTTTTTGGGTTTAAGTCCTGGAGTCTTGCATGACAGAAGGGAAAATTTAGATGAGAGTGAAATCACAAACATTTCAAGCAGGCTGGTAGAACAGGACAAGGTCTGCTAACTTGGGCTTAGGGGTCTAGGATTTAGGGGCTAAACTCTGAGTGCCTCTGGCTCTTCAACCTTGGGGTTCAGCTGATCTTATTCCTTACTGCTGACTGTAGCCATAAGCAGGACTGGGGAACTGCCTCACTTGTGTTCATTGTGGGCACAGACTCACTCTTCCTGTAGCTCTTGGGATGCATTAAACTTGACACCTTGCTGCTCTGACCCAGCAGCTTGGGTGGGAGGGAAGAGTAGTAGTCCCTGTCTGGCCAAGGAGCAATCAAGCTACTGTGCCTTTCAACCAGGCCATGAGCTGCGTGTTTTCTATCGACCTTCTGTGTTCACGCGGTCAGTAGGTCCCAGGGTTCAGGGTTGGTTAGCTTCACCGGTTGCACAATTTGGGCCATGTAGCTTTGAGCAAAAAGTTAAGTATAGAATAGTGTTGATTGGATTAAATGGATTTCCACAGTGTGTTATTATTTTGTACCATCAAGTTGGAAATGACCCTTTAGGGTTTTCAAAGGTAGTAAATCTTTCTCTGGTAGAGCAGCTGGTGGATTCGAACCATGTGCAATGCAGCTCCTTACCACTAGGCCACCAGAACTCCCTTAATTTTCTCAATTGTTGTTGTTTATTGCTGTCAAGTCGAGCACGACTCATAGCAACCCTATGAACAAAAGGCCTGAAGCCTTTCTATAACTATCGTTTTCTCCAAGTTCATAGAGTTTCCAGAGGCATATGGTTTAGGAAGCAGATGCCACTCCTGCTTCCAAACTTAAATCAATCTTGGAGCTCCACCAAACACCGCAGACCCAGATAGGGCCAGTGACAAGGGAAGACTCAGGCCACTGGGCACCTCTCTGTCTGAAAAGACTGTTTACAAGGAGCCTAGAAGAGATTATCTCAGTGGTGGAAGGGATGGCTGTGGACGCAGCGATGCTCAGTCACTGGAGGTGGACACACACTAGATCAGGAGGCTGAAAGATGAGCCCCACCCTTCCTCCGTGTTTCCTGAGGCGGGGACACTCGGGGGCCCAGATTAGGCAAAACTGTCCTAGGTGTGTATGTATATATGTAGTGTGTACCTATAAGGGACAGTGAGGGGACCCCATCCACTCTCATAGCCTTCATTGCAGGGATGGTATGTGATCTATGGCTGCCTTGTCAAGGGATGAACTTATTCCTGTGAAGATGTAGGAGTCGAGCTTGGTAAACCTCATGAGGAATCATCCATGCAACCATTTGTAGTGATTTGTTAAAGGCCCACAGTGTGCCACGGCCTGTGATTGGTACATTAGGGGCATCTCCTCCCATAGCTCCGAGGGAGAAGGACCTCATTGGCTAACATCAACCTACATTTCTCAAAAAGAAGACTGAGTCTGCAGGCATGAGCACATTAGATGTGGAGGTGGTGGAACAGTGGGTAATCCTTTGCTTTGCTAACTGGTTATGGAAACCCTATAAATTGTCCCTTGAGAGAAAGAGGTGAAAAGTCAGCTTCTGAACAGATTTGTAGCATTAGAAACCTTATGGAACAGTTCTAGTCTGTCCTGTAGGGTTAATGGGAGTTGCACTAAATTTCCCAGATGTGGGATTTTGGATAAGAGATTACTGGCACTGGTAACACAGTGGTTTTAACTGGTTGCCAGCCAATGAATTGGCGGTTGGAACCTACCAGCGACTGGACATGAGAAAGGTGAGGCAATCTTCCGTGAAGATTTACGTAATTGGAAACTCAACGAGGCAGTTCCTCTCTGTCTTAGAGGGTTGCTGTGACTCCGACTCTGAAGCCGAGTGGATGGCAGTGGGCATAGCAGAGGAGGGAGGCTCGCGAGGGAGGAGCACAGCCAGGTGCTAGAGGGCTGGGGCTCTTGGCTCCTGAGGAGCGCGATCCAGGCCCCTGTGGGCAGTGGGGGCCGCCAGGGGAGCTGTGCACACTGCCTGCATGTCCAGGCACAAGGCTTAGGCCTCCCTTTTACACAGGCCAGGGTGTGTGTGAGGTGTGTGGAGACAGGAGGCAGCGCCTTCCCCTTCATTCTCCTTCTCTCTGTAGGTTCCACTGCTCCTGGTGCTGGCACACCTGGCAGTCGGCCCACGTGGTCATCCTCTTCCACATGCACCTCGATCAAGCCAAGCGGATGGGCTCAGTGCGCATGCGCGTCTTCAAGCAGCTGTGCTACGAGTGTGGCACGTCGCGGCTGGATGAGTCGAGCATGCTGGAGGAGAACATCGAGAGCCTGGTGGACAACCTCATCACCAGCCTGCGCGAGCAGTGCTACGGCGAGGACGGTGGCCAGTACCGCATCAACGTGGCCAGCCGCCCGGACAGCCGGCAGCATCGCAGCGAGTTCTGCGAGGCCTGCCAGGAGGGCATCGTGCACTGGAAGCCAATCCAGAAGCTGCCGGAGGAGGAGGCCAACAGCTACCCCTCCAAGGCGGGGTCTGGATACAACTTCTTCTCCCTGCGCTGGTGTGTGTTCTGGGCTTTGCTCTGTGTGGTCATTGTCTACCTGCAGTTCTCCTTCCACAGCTTTGCCTTCTTTTAGTGGAGTTGCTTGAGGTGAACGAAGGGTGCATGGAGTGGGGCAGACGAGACCCTGGTCCAGGCTCTGCTCCTGATTCCGTGTATGATCCTAAAAGACTCAGTCACCTCTCTGGGCCTCAGAGTTTGTGATTAAGATATTTAATGGCCCTTCTAGAAAATTTTACAATAATTGCAGCTGGAGTGAGGGAAGGAGGGTTTAATCTTTAAACCTTTAAAGGTTTTAGAACTAGCTAGTTTTGATATTACTTCTAAACTCATGGTTTTGCATTTATTCACCTCACCCCCATCTTTATCTTGACTTTTATTTAATCCATGTATCCCACATCCCAACCTCATTAAACCCCGATTTACTCTGGTTTCATTCTCAACGTCTTCTGATTATCCTGCCCTGGTTCCATTTGGAGAGGGCCATCGCCATGCACAATGTATAGAAAATTTTTAATCTGGTTCCCAGCCCTGTGAAAATAGAACTCTCCCCACTCTTCTAGAGTCTGCTTCTGTTAGTCTTAGAGACTCAGCTTTTCCTCTGGGGCGAGGGACCACTAGCTCAGCAGGCAGGAATTTTCCAGAAGAACTGCACTGTCTAATAGGGGGCTCTAGTGATCTAGTGGGTATGGAGTTGCTCTGCCAATCTAAAGGCAGGCAGTTTGAATCCACTGGTTCCTCTAGGGGAGAAAGGCAGTCTCCTCTCATGTGATTTATAAGCTCTGAAAACTCAGCTGTGAGTTGGTGGCAATGAGTTTTTGTGAGCATTGTCTGATAGGGTAACCACTAGCTATGTGTTGCTATTTGAATGAAGCCACGTTCCTCTGGGGACCCTGCTACTTCTCAAGCACCAGTGAGGAGTGGCTATCAGTACTGCACATGCAGGCTGCTACAAAGGCTGTCCTCAAATTCCAAGCAGCCATAAGACAGCTAGGATGGGGACCCCAACAAGATGTATAATCCCACCATGGATGTTACATGCATTCAGTTCAATGTAAGCATACACACGAGACACTTCAACAGTGTTGGCCAAACAACCAATAACAGGAACAGGTTCGCTGTAAGCCTATGGCCCTGGTCTCTGCAGAATGCTAGGCAGGGTAGACACCCTTCTGTGTGTGCTCTACATTGTACTATAGAAGAGGACCTCAAAGTCCATGTCCAATGTCTATCTGGTTTTATATTCCATGGGATCTTATGACACAGTGACAGACTTTCCAGTCTGACAACCCAAGAAGCTATAGGTCCTTAGGTTCAGACACATAGATATCAGCAGAAACTTTGTCATGTTTTGCCTCAAAGCCCAAGGACACTAGCAGGCGGGGGCGGGGGGAATGGGAAAAGCATGGCCATTGGACTGGTCAAGGACTTTTTTCACCACCTATTGCATAGTGCAGGTGAAGAGTATCTTCAATTTTATGAATCAAGACAGCACTGGTTTAAAGCTTGACATTCCCGCTTAAATGTATACATATGGCAAATAGGTGAGCATAAGGTCAAAGGCATAGTATGAAGCAGGCAGGGGCTGGGGCAGGTAGGATGCAATGTGATGTGGTAGAGATATACAAATAAACATGTAACCTCTATGTTCCTTGTTGCCAGTTGATTGGATTCTATGGGTCCCAGCGTTGTCTTAACTTATTTCCTGGGATGTGGGGAAGGGACAAAAAGTATGCCTGGTTAGTGGATCCTGGGACAGGAAACAGGTAACAGGGGTGGGGTGCCACTCAAAGCTTCAAATACCATAACTGCCTCAGTTGTGTCCTGAAGAAAATGTTGAAATAGATCAGGAAAAAGAATGTTAAAAATGAGTTGTCAAAGGAAAGGGAGGTGAAATATTGGGAACCAAAGTGGGGTGCCAAATATTTTTTTATATAACCAGGAAAATGGAGAACAAGATAGGAATGATTATTACATGACGTTGTGCCCTATATATACTCACCATCCTCTTAGAGTGTCGGGCTGCAAGGGAATGTCTTCAGATGGGCAAGGTCATGCTAGTACTGTGGTTGTGAATTTATATGGCACCCTATAGTGTGTAGTCAAATCGCCAGGTGCATTAAGCCTGCTAGGGTAGTTCTGGAAAGCAAACCTCATATTAGGTCATCCTCTTGATGTGGAAAAGTCAGTCTGTGCCCTGGAAAACTTGGCTTCATGATGCCCTGGCATCTGATATGAGTCCCAGCCAGCCAAGAACGTAACCCTTGAGAAGACGCTGTAAGAGTCTCTGCAGAGAGAGAACTCAAGGTTTTTCTTTTTTCATAGAGAGCAGCAAAATTCCTATTAACTGGAAAAAAACAACACAATTGGCATTAACTGCAAGATGATGTTCTCTTTCTCTCTCTCTCTGTGCAAGTATTAGCTTAAATACTTGTGTATGGTACAGGTACATCCCTCTACCTTCACATATGAAAATATATTGTGTTATATTCTAAAGTTTTCCCAAGTCCTGTAAATAGTGAGGGGAGGACAGATGGGACACATTGTGGACATATTTTGTAGGTGACTACAGGGCTGCGTGTCTTCATTTGGGACAGGTGATGGGTGACAGGATGCATGAATGGTGGAGAAAGAGCAGCGCCCTTCTCTCAGCACCTCTCCCTTTATATAATGAAATCATCTTATTTGAAGGATTGCTTTTCCTGTGATCATGTCCTCAGGTTTTGCTGTGACCTAAGTGTCTGTGTAGTTTGATTCGTGGGCTGGGGCCTAATGACTGTGTGTTGACTAATGTCTGTAATAGGAAACAGAAGGGAGCTCTGATGGCCTAGTGGTAAGAAGCTGCACTGTAATTGCAAAGGCATGTGGTTCGAATCTACTAGCTGCTCCATGGGAAAAGGATGGGCAGTTTCCTCCCACACGATTGTTGTTGTTGTTAGGCGTTGTCGAGTTGTAGACAACTCATAGCGACCCTGGAACAAAAGACCTGAACACTTGTATAACTTTCATCATTTCTCCAAGTTCATAGTTTCCATAGGCAAGCAATTTCAGAAGTGGATGCCATTCCTGCTTCCAAGCTTGATTTAATTGGGGAGCTCCACCAAACACTGTCTATCATGAGTAACCATTATCATATTTGACACATCAGTGTCACAGTGTTTAGCATCACAGCAAACACTGCCTCTTAAAAACTGCCGAGGGGTTTGTTATGAGTCAGTTCCGACTCAATGGCACACAACACTAGGAAACAGAACTTTCCAACTTATACCTCCCAAAACTTCCCTGCCATTCATATACTTCGATATCCCATTTCAAGTCTCTGTCTCAGGCTGGAGCCTGGGAACTTAAGGTGAGGTTCAAGGCTCTGGAATTGGGATGGATGTGCTCCCAGATATGAGCTGCTGTGAGCACTTTGTGCCTCGCCATGGTCTGTGTAGGGTTGAGTACTCTTCAACAACTTTGGCATCTTTCTCTGCTCTCTTGTCTGGAGCAAAGAGCAGAGGAATCCAGAAGAATTCCACCTCTGCCGTTCTCGGGTTGGGAGCTGCCGTAAAGGTACAGCACCAACCTGGAGTGTTTGTGAACCAGCGAGCATGTGAGATTCTGCATTCACTACTATCAGCTACAGATGGTGCTCAGCTGGGCCTGTGCAGAGAGTGTGCCCCACGGGAGTTGTTGCTCAACTGCAGACACATGGCAACTTCTGGGAAGATGGAATAAGGAGCCCAGGGAAGCAAGTAGTCCCCAGGGGACTGTCTTCCCCCGGCCTTGGTCCACCCTGTGAGACTCAACGGGTCATAAAGGGACAGGATGTGAATGAGTGGTGCCAACAGCAGCTCTTACTGAAACTGTGGTTTGTGGGGCTAGGGTGTGGGCGGCCAAGATTGTGTCAAGGGGTGGACTGTGCCTCACATGGTCAGTAGAGCTCGGGCTTCTGAGGTGAAGCTTGGCAGCGAAGGAATGGAGATGCGCCAAAGCCAGAACGAAGGCGGGGCAGTGAGAATAGTTGAAACAAGGTAAGTCTGGGAAACATTCCAGGGGATATTGCTTCTTTACTGTTTTATGTCTCCTCAATCAGCTTATTTATCTGAATATACTACCTTTTTCAGATTTAAGGAGAATGACCCTTCTCTGACCCCATGTTTCCCTTTAATTACTACCATATATGCTTTTAGTTCTTAAAAATCAATTTTCTCAAAGGGGTAGGCTATTATTGCGTCTACCTCTTATTTATTCCTTACACCAGGGAGGCCTTGTTTTTCTATCTCTAGAAATGCCAGCCCCCTCTTATTTCTAAACCAGGGTCTTGCTTTTTGGCCTGTATCTCCTTTGATCTCTCTATTGCTTGTTACACTTCCTCCTTTTTTTAAAAATGTCTTTATTTTTCATTTCAATGAACATCTACAGAGATTTTGGAATTCCATTCATTCATTGTTGCACCCCTCTCCCCACCCCCCTACCCCCACCTCCCCGTTTGCTCCTCTCCTTCCTTAAGGACCCCTCACTGCTTCCTCACTCTCATTCTCCCATGTCTACGTTCTCTGTGATATTATTTGTGCAACTCTGCCACTTAACCTTCATATTTTGGTCTTCCTAATGATTCTCTTCTTATTCTGCTGTTTTCAATCAGTAACATGTTTGTTCTTGACTTAAACTGTCATCTGAATATGTACTCTCAGGTCTTTTTAGCCCTTGTAAGGGTTTATTAGGAAAACCCCTTAAAAGCTATTCTCAATAAATCCACTTTACTCTCGATGTGTCAGACAAAAGTATTTGGGAATATTTTAATGAAACTATTTACATTTCAAAGAATTTAATCAAATCATTTTGCCTTCATTATGGATTGACTTTCCCCCCACTCATCAAATAGTAAGTAAGGAGTTACACATTGGAAACTCAAAGGCATTTGGTTTGAATCCACCAGTTAGTTGCTCCACAGGAGAAAGATGGGTAATCTCCTTCTATACAATTAACTAACTGTCTCTAAAAACTCACTTAAAGGTCAGCTATGAGGCAGTTCCAACTCAATGGTATACAACAATAACAAACTAAAATTTGTCTTGAAATTCTAACCCG